TCTTTTGTACGCTTCATGGGGCTATTTCCTGGAACCACTATCCGTATCAACGGTGTTTTTGAGCGCTATGACATATTGTTATTCATCAGATGAAAGTTGATCTGTGTTGGATGGCCTATAAAAACACTTGTATAAAAGAAATTTAAAAGAACCTGCGGAGAGGCTCGCTTAGCCCTCGTATGTGGAAATTTAGTAATAATTCGATCGTACTTGTGGTATAAACATAACATTAGTCATATCATTAAATCATGGATCTACCGAAATAATATCTGGACTCTCTGTTACGACCGCTCTGAGAGAAGCCGAAAACTAAAGGAAATGAAAGCTGATGGTACAAAGAGCCACGGCTTTCAGGGACCTTTACTAATGAAGTATGCGACTAAGAAGAAGAAGCAAAAGAATGATTTCGACAACAATTTTTCTAATTTATCCCAAATTAAATTCAACCAAAAAAACAGTGCTTAAAACAAAAAAAAGTATGTCGTATTCGAGTACAACCGTAAACTATATAAAATACGTTTAATATCAATTAATTTGTTCGTCGACGCGACGCATTTCAACGCTCGATAAGTGGCTCCGTCCGACGCGGTGAGCGGTGCCCGGTAGCCGAGTGATGCTATCAAACAGCTACTGCTTTTATAAAACGTAAGGCTAATGGCATTTTAGTCGACATTAATCCTATACAATACAAACTTCAAAGAATTAACACGTTTATCATTACCGCTAAAGCTAAATGATTGATTGAATAATGTTTTAGGAATCAAAAAATATTATCAAGCTTTCTGATGTCAATTGAATACGTTCATGTGACTGTTATTAGTTAAAATCTAAGCATATAAGTATTTTAGAAAGAAACGCTCAAGTTATTTTACATTCGGCTGTCAGTTAAGATTGATAAGTAATAAAAATTCCATCAAGATCCAAGCGACATCCCATTGCCGATTTGGCACGGGACAAAAAAAAAGCCCATTAAATATGTAAGCAAATGTTTATTTTAATAGAGAATAAACGATAAATCTCGCTATGGGCTTTCGAATTCCGCACAAGTCATCCGACGAGGTGAGATCGACTGGGAAATACCACTATAGTACATACACATTTATGCACATACATACCTACTTGTAGTTTTCGTACACACACAGTCAACCATTCTAACTCACACATACATACGGCATTCATAATTTCAGAATTCGTTGACGTATTTTTCGTTTTCAGTCTCATTCGATTTCGGTCTAATGAATGTTAAATGTAAATACTTAAAAACGAATAATACTAATGTCAAAATAATCGTTTTTAATCAATAAACTAACTAAACACGTAAGTGACCTAAAAATATTTATTTTTTGTTAAATCTATACTAATATTATAAAGAGGAAAGATTTGTTTGTTTGTTTGTTTCGAATAGGCTCCGAAACTACTGGACCGATTTGAAAAATTCTTTTTCCATTAGAAGCCGACATTGTCCCTGATGAACATAGGCTACTTTTTTTATTTTTTTTTTTATTTTTTTTTTTTGGTTTCATGTGTGTTTTAATGTTTCCGAAGCGAAGCGAGGGCGGGTCGCTAGTTAAATATAAAACAGAAAATACCTCATTAAGTTTATGTTACGACGGCAACTTTAATGATAATAATCATTAACGAGAAAGAAAATATGTTGTTAGAGCAACTATGAATGAAATCTCAGTATAAAAATTCTAGACGTAATCAGTGATGGATGCCACAGCTTGCGACTCTGAATACCAAGACTGTTCCGCATTGAAGGTTTTTGCTATACGTTATTCTATATGAAAACACCGGTACAGGACTTAATCAGTCTTTTTTATTTTCTATTCAAACATCGTTCATTACGTATTGATTTTAGTTGAAGTTTTAATTTTAGTTACATACATAGATAGGCGAAAGAGCTCACAGTACAACTGGTGTATCTGGGCACTTGGGCCTATAGACATCACTACGTGAATGCTAACGTTTATATAGTTATAAACGTAGGGAAATATTTAGGTGGGGTGGTGTTACATGCCTGTCTGTATAAGCTCAAAAGATGCTCTATTACCAGTTTAAGTATTTCTTCTCGTAATTCTAAAACGATAAGTATCAAAAATAATGAAATGCAACAATAAAATAAAAAAGAGATTGATGAAAAATTAAAACACGCGTCCCGAATTTGATAACCACATTCTTTTCTTTATAAACGTGCTTTAATAAATAGAAGCGGCAAATAAAGTGAATGACATTTTTATTTTGTCTTAAATAAAATGAAATAAAAATTCAAGTTGTTGGGTAACATGAATCTACTGATAAATAATAGTAAAGTTGTTGTTAACGTATTTTGATAATTATTAATGTTACACAGTTACTAGTAGTTGTTGCCTTATCGATTAATAACTTTATTAAAATTGTTGATTTATTCACGCAGTGACTTCTCTTCTACAGACATCAGCTGTTAATGTTTTATTTTTATTTTTTTTATATGGCGGCAAAAAAAATGAGCATTTTCGTATGTACACCACGTATGTATAAATTAAAATTTGGAATGAATATAGCTATCAGTGTAGATGTTTTAAATTTATTCTTCTACTATAAATATATCATTACTTATTACCTTAAGTTTTTAGGAAACATCCTTTATTGACTTCTCTACGTTTATGGTAAATAAAAAAAAATGTATTTAGATGTCTCTTGATACCAAATTAAATTTTGTCAATATATTAATTTCTGAAATATACGCTAGTTCCATAAAAAAAATTTTTTTTTGTCTGATATCCTACAATTAGAATGAAAAAATAAATGTATGCATCTATAATAAATATCACCACTGTGATAAAAATAGGAGTGTTAATTGGGTAATAGGAGTTAAAATTATAATGTAGGATAAATTTTGTAATAATTTATCTCTGAGAACGTTATCCAAAAATATTTAATGGATCCTTTTAATGTTTAGAAATTTACGCAATTTACTTTGTAAATTAGCGTTATTTAGTATGTGAGTATGAATCGGGGATAATGCTATTCGTATTATAAATGATGGTATGCAATGTCAAAACGTCACCTACTTGTTGAAAATATTAGGAAAATTAGAATTACTTTGTAGAAACTTAAATTTCGTGAAGCATACTCAAATGCTATTAAGTGCGAGCTTCGTGTCAAGGACAGTATACATTTTTTTCTCGACATTATGAATAGATTTGTATGACTACTTTGACTGCGGCTTGACTTCATTTTTATGTTTATTTCTGAAGTAATAACACGAATACAACCAGGCTGCTTAACGCTAAAATCTCTTTTCAAGTCGGATGTTAAGCTGTAGGTAAATTCAGAGATTTTGATGATGATCGTAGGAGTAATATGTTCAAAAGACGAGAAACATTCCGCTTATTCTAAGCAAAAAAATATATTGGAATTATTATTATTAAATATACAATGAATTTTTGAATGATGGATAAGCTCAGCAAATAGATGAATAGGTTGGTTCGTGCAGAACTCATAAACGCATAGCATCTTTTCAGATATCCGTACTACATTCGAATCGTGAAAATTTCCGGGAAATTTCACTCTAGAAAACCGGTAATAAACCATTTCGTAATAAAATAACAACATCGAATACCAAGAAAAAAAATGTCCGCTAATCAAATTACTAGTTATATACTAGGTGTCACAGCTTGTAGCACGCGCTAGTTTAAATTATTATTCCGAGCCTAAAGCGTTATAAATTGGTTTGGTGACAGTTGTCACCGTGTGAGCATACAAACGGTTCATCGCTGAACCCCACAGAGACAATTACGGGGTTTATATACAGTATTTAACACCTCGCCTTTATATATTTATAACCAAGTAACACGTTCCGCTTGTCACCGGTCACAAGTATGCTAACATTTTCGACCACATTTTTCTTTTGATCAGCGACTAATGAAATTATTCTTGTATTGGTCTAAAACTTTTCCGCGAACTATAATTTAGTTCTTTATACCTGTTTATAGTTATTATACGATTGGCAATAAGAAAATTCCTTGGTAACATTATTTGAGTCACGCATTTATTTATGTATTTTTTATATAAATAAACGGAATACAATGTGAAATTATTGATCGTTTAGTTGTTTATATTCCTGAAAGAAAGGAATTTGTGTGATTTATTTTATATTCGACGTCTGAAATCGTGATTAAAATATACGTCATCATATCAATATTAGAATTGATATTATTATAATTTTTGAATTTCAATTCGAACACAGTTGATTGGCTTTTTGCTTTTTATTCAAATAAAGTTTCAACCGTTTTAGACATAACGACGTGTTGATTAAATAATGAAAAGTTTGACTAACCCAAGCACTCAGAATATTTAGTGACCATAAGCTTAGACCATAAATCAATAAGTTTGTTTACTGTAAGGCTAGTGTGGAACTAGACATAATTGGCCTAAAACATGAGAAATGAAAATCATATGATTTTCCTACCTAAGCTGAAAGCCTTAGAAGAATATGCTAACGTAACCAAGCAAGTAAGTGAGCTCACGGGGCTCTAACCTGGTGACGTTGCTAACATAGCCCTAGCAAGAGCAGTGCTTCGCAGATTCGACCACCGGATTGAAAATCACGAGATTTACTAAAACTTTCTTTTTAAAATAAATAAAATTTGATGTTTGACTTTATCCATTCTTTAATTAAATTCCAAAGATTACTACTAGTTTTTTAGAATTCACAGGCGTGGACATAATAATGTACGTAAACAATATTTAAAAAAAAAATTAAGTTTCATTCCAATTCTCCAATCATTATATCATCGAATATGAGAATATAAAATTTTACCTTTTAGCTTAATTTTTTAAAGGACTACGTGTTATATCAGAAACATATAATATACATGTAGTTTGCTGACATTAAATCAAGTAAAGTAACATTTACGACCATAATTGTACGTGCGAGATGGTTGATTTTCGCCCAAAGGTATTGCAGCAATAACGCAGCTACCTGTATTAAAGACTACAGTTAATATTTTTTTTACCTTACAAATGCAGCGGAAACAACTGCTCCAATCTTGTTCTAGTCTCGTGTCTTGCAACCGGACGGGCTCGCCCTCGTTCGAACACGGAATGCGGACCCCTTCTGCAAAATAAATAGAAAGAGTACAATAATTAAATATTTTTTGTATTTACGATTAAATATGACGCGTATATTCGTTGGAAAACTTCGTAAACAATGCAAAATAAAGCAAAATATCTCTAGAATCCTAGTTAGGTAAATCAGTGCATTTATGTAATATTTTTAAGTTACGATTTCGTGAGATTAAACAAAAAAAATGGTGCGCGTGAAAGACGTGCGCAACTTCTTTTGCTGTTTGTAGTATTGTGGTTTTCTTCATTTTTCATCCTTATATCAAATTTCTCTTGTAATAAGGAATGCTGTGTGTAAGAAAAACGACCTCTTCACCATTTATATATATTTTAAATTATTTATAGAAAAAATTATATTTTAATAAATCCTTAATTAAAAATAAAATATAAGATAGTTAATATGCTGCTACTGCCATCTACCGGAGCAATGAGAGACTATTAACAAGCCATCTAGTGGTCGATGCCCGTAAACGGAATGTGTATAAGAGAAACGACCTAGCTCGCTTTTTGCATCTCTCGAAGGTCGAGTGTTTCGCGAGACGCTCTGTCTATTTTCTCATTCTCGCTTGTCCTAAATTGCATCTTTTCTCTCTAGGCGTAACGAATCTGTCGCGAATTTACTCTTAACGCGCCTAAAGAAGTTTCACTTAAAAAAATGAATAATTTCACTTTAATACGAATGTCAGTGATACCTACCGTAATCACTTTATAAATCTACACTATAACATTAACTCAATCCATATGATACCGGTCAAAAATCGCCCAATTGTTAGGTTACTGTGTAAATTTAGTCTGGAAATTAGTGTATTTGTTCGCATATTATCTGTTTCGTCATGACAACCTAAATTTTTAAACAAATTTGCAGACCAATTCGCATGTAACCAGATCGAGAACATTGAAAATTAACAGAATGTACATAAAATTGTTCAGCCCCTACATTTAGGAAATATGCGTGCAAAATATCTAGTTCAACACAAGTTCTACTTATCTCAAAGCAATGAGAACAAAATCGTATGAGAATATAAATTTCTAGGAAGTGTAGGTGTTTCAACATAAACGTTTTCATTAGACTACATTTCTGTCAGCAGTTTGAGGAAACAGGCAGAAACCTAAACAGCCCATAAAACTTCTGGGTTCTAGTCTATAAAGAAGGAAACTAGTATTATTGGTCGCTTTGTCATATACCTCAACATTCGAATTAACTGAAAAATGTAATTTATTCACCGTAATAGAAAACGCTAAGCAATATCTATGTGGTACATGAATGATATATGCACATATTATATTAAAAAATCAAAGGTTTTGTAAAAGGTCTTGTATCATATTATATGTATCTTTGGTGACTTTCGCGTGATGACTGTAATGATATACTTTTCTTAGCTCTCTTAAAATAGCCATTAACACAGCCGAACCCCGAAAACAAAACTGTTTTTTTTTTGAGAAATATGAAAGCTATGTGTTTTAATTTCTTGTTAGTCACAGAGTTTTTTGTACTTTTTTTTTTTTTTTTTTTTTTTTTTTTTTTTTTTTTTTTTTTTTTTTTTTTTTTTTTTTTTTTTTTTTTTTTTTTTTTTTTTTTTTTTTTTTTTTTTTTTTTTTTTTTTTTTTTTTTTTTTTTTTT